TACTTGTCTACAGGCTAGACTGTTGTTTTTCTAGAGCTGAGGAGGGCTTTGAGCAGCTTGTTTGTGTGTCTGCATCCTGTCCCCACTCCCATGGGTATCTTAAAGCTTTGGGGAAGCTCTGCTTCATACTGTGCTTCCTGCAGGCAGGCCTGGACCAGCTTTGTCTAGAGGCAGTCCTGGTTCAGCTTTGATTCTGGAAGACCTCCCCTTTGGTCATGCTGTGATAATAACTTCACGTAGTTGGAGCATCCACATGTCTGTTTTGCTCTGCCTGCTCAGTCCTTGGCTGGAGAGAATAGGTGGATGTTAGTAATAGATGGGGGACTTAGGTTTCTATGTGATGAACGGCTCTTACTGCTTGGTACAGCAATTTCTTGGTTGTCATAGATCACTTTTATAATCAGAAATTAGCCCTTCAGTGGGTTGGTCTTGCCTGTAGTTCTAAAGCTGAGAGGAATCAGCATCACACACTGGTTTATGCTGGAAGGGACCTTAAAGCTCATTCAGTTCCAGCCCTCTGCCACGGGCAGGGACACCAGAGCAGCTTGCTCCAAGCCCCTGTGTTCAACCTGGCCTTGAACTTCCAGGGACAGGGAACATGCACATGGTCTTTCCTTGCTGCCCCTGTTTGCTTGAATGCAGCTCTAAAAAGTAACAATGATTAACTGCCCATGAGCACTGGTGTAATGAAGCTAGGCTGAAGTGATTGTAGCAGCAGTTGGTGTCAATAGTGTGGCGGTGGTTCCACGTTTTCTGGGCTTCACTTGGTAGGGACATTCAAAAGCAGCACCCGAAGACAAGACAACAAATAGGCTGTCCAGCAAACTTGGGTTTGCTTGACTGTAGGAGAGTTGAAGCCAAGTCTTTCATTACCCTAATGCAGGGAAAAAAAAACCCAACAATCAGAGGAGACAGAAGTAAAATACAGTACTAACTGTGATGCCCCTTTCTGCAGTGGGGTCACGAGGTGGGGGCCTCCTGCTTCAGCAGCAGAAGCTCACGTAGCCTTCCCCCACCCCACAACAGGGATTTATAGGGAGAAGAGACTGTTGCCTTGTATAGTGCACAATATGTTATTTGTGGGGGTACAGGACAGATGTAGATGTGTTTTTATAGAGATGTTTAAACATTCTATTTACACTGACACCAAACAACCTGAAAGCGGTTTTGCTGCTCGCATCCCTCACTAATGACTGTCAGTAAATCTGTTTGCAGTACTCTGGTTACCAAGCACTGTACTACATTGCGTATTCCCTCTGTGTAGTTGTATTTTAACTCTGCACAATGAAGCGTGTGTCCCCCCCCCCGCCCTGTGTTTGCTCTGAATGGAATCTGATTTTTCATTCCAGAAGTGTTCTGCTCATCCGTGGGCCCATGATTCAGCATTAATCAGCAGCCTGTAACACAAACCAGCTATTACAGCTTGGCAGGACGTTGAGATGCTGTCTTCTGAAAGACTGGCGTTCCCCTCCTGTGAGAACAGAAAAGGGCTTTGTTGTTCAATGGCAGGAGGTTCACACAGGTGCCTGTGCAACGCATGACAGCTACAGGGAGTGAGCTGTAGTTCTGATTCATATTGTTCTTTAGTCCTCCAGGTCCAGGTTGGGTTAGTAATTGCACTAGATGACACTACATCGCCTCTCAACCATTGGCACTGGGTTGGTTCATCTTCTGGAGATGCACTTTTTCAATAGCTACACGTCTGGTGAAACCAAATACTGGAGCAAAACCACACTGCATCGATTTGCATATAATGATTAGGCATTTCAGGTACAGAACAGAAGGACCTTTTCTTCTGCATTCAATTAACTGACATTAAAAAGCAGGCAAATAGGTGCTAAACATGAACCTTGACAAATAAAACCCTTGTATTGCATTAATGAAATGCTGCTTAAAATGGTACTTGTGAAGAAGCTTTCTAGAAGGAATGAGGAATCTGAAGCCAATTTTTCCCTTCAAAGCCTATGAGTTATGCTCTGATAAAATTAGATTTTTAGTTAAAGGAATTTGTAGTTGTTAAATGCTGCCCATGAAATAAGTCTCATTTATAACCATCTGCTTTATGGCTTCTGCAGGAGAGTATTCTTCAGGCAATGCATCCAAGAACTTTAGTGTCATTTTTATCCAAATAGTTTGATTCTCTACCACTAACACTATTAAAACCTCAGTGTGATTTTTTTCCTTTTCAACTTGAGAGCAGTATCTTGCACTTCAAAGAAGGGGTGACTCCTCTCTCCTGTGAAGAGATTGCCCAAGCCATACACGGCGCTGTGCCTGTGGCCAGACTTGCTGGTAATGTCTTTTAGTGGTATATTAGATCACTAATAGAAAGGTCTTATGTTCAACATGCCCCCAAGGAGTGAAATTAGCATCGTTTCTTTTCTGTGCTACAGAAGAGAGAAATGATTTTGGCTGAAGCAAACTAAGAAAAATGAGCCCTTCCTGCAGTTTTACTTTACTGGAGGGATAGAAACCACAGTTGTGTGTCTACCTGGAGGTGATGGATTTTTGTGGCTGCTCTTTAAGCCAGGTGTATTTCCCACTTCACTGTGTACTCCTGAAACGTTGAGTGTTCTCAGTGCCTTTTCTACATTGAAAGGGAGGTTTTGGGGGGATGTACCAAGTGCTCCCAGGTAATGAGAAGTGGTGATCCGCAGGCTGACCCCCTCTCCTCCCATTGCATTTCTAACAAGCTTTTCCTCTGAATCCTGCATCTGTTCTTTTGGGTAATTTATATTCATTAGGGTGTACAATTATAAGGGGAACAGAGTAAAAGAAGGGAACCTTTGAAGACCATCCTTTGTTTTTGACGATGTCTGTGCAGACATGGAAGTACCAAAAGGGTATTTAGTACAAGTGAGCTGACACTTGAATTTTATAAAGTGAGTGTCTTTTTCCCCCCTTTTGATCAATGTAATAGTTGTAATTAGTTTTAGTGTTTCTAAGCTTTTGAACTGCAGAGAATTCAAACAGCTTGTTAAAGAGAGGGACTCGGGGGAGCTTTAAAAGTACTCTTCCCTTTTGCATGCGTTACATGTACATGGGTTTAATGATAGCAGGCTCTATGTGAATTTTTATCCTGTGCCCCACCTCTGAAACTAATATTTTGAAAAGCTCGGAGAGGTCCCTGGAGTGTAGCTGTCTGTGCAGCTCAGCTCTGCTGCATCAAGGGGATAAATCCTTTGAAGTCTGTACTTAGCCTGAATGCCGTTTTATGTCTTTCTGAAGATCACTAAGGCAGCATCGTACAGTGGGTAAAGACTTAGTATTTCTATAAGCAAATACCCACATTTTGTTTATTCCCCTAAGTTCATAGGATCATGGAATACTTTGCGTTGGAGGGACCTGAAAGCTCATCCAGTTGCAGCCCCCTGCTGTGGGCAGGGACACCTCCCACTAGAGCAGCTTGCTCCAAGCCCCATCCAACCTGGCCTTGAACAGGGATGGGGCAGTTGACTTAGGGAGTGCCAAAACCATGTCTGCTGTTCTGATCCTTCTTGAGTTTGGTGACAGCTTTGAGAAAGACAGCTTGCTGGTCACTTGGAGGAAAGAAAGCAGCATCTGTTACGTAGAAATGGCTACGACACCTTAGCATCCAGTGTGTGTTGTATTGCATCCTGGAATAAACCCCCTCATTCTGAATTACCCGATGCTGTCTGATGTACTCAGTTGAGAGAGGTAATTATGGCCTTCAGGAGTTAGGTGAGCAGATACTGTTGTTTCCATAAGCTGATTCCCCCCTCCCCCATTGTTTATTTCTCTCTTTCACTTGGATAAAGTCTGTATTTTTTTACCCTGTGCTCCAGTGGCAGATTGCTTTATTTCCAATTACCCTGTGGCAGGGTGCTGTGTACCACGGAAAGGATTGTGGATGTGTTTCAGGAGATGCGCAACACTTCTCTTTGTCTAAATGTGGTCTGCAGGGAGGTACTTTATTATAGAGAAAAAAAGTACAAATAAACCCATAATAAGCATCAGGTAGGGCAGAAAGCTTAGATGTCTGGGGAGGCTGTGTGTTATTTTCCTATCAAAAGCAAGAGAGAAACAAGCCTTTTTTGTTTTCCTTCTCTGACAAGCAAACATCTGAGAACAGTGAGCACTAAGGGAATGGAATGAGGTTAAGGCACATCCACAGGAGTAAGAAGCCCCTTATAAGCTTTTGGCAGGGGTCTGGAGAGCTTGCACTCAGTGGGCTTAATCCTGCATCACCCATCAGTAGGCACTGTCCAGGTCAACGGGACTCCAGGCAAGATGGTCTTTGAGTCCTCTGTGCTTCTGTTGTTTTTGATACAGCAAGTGTCTTGACTGATGGCAAAATGTTAGTATTTGTAATTAACCCATAAATAATGCTACTGCTCGGAATGAAATACGTATTCCTCTGAAGTCTTGCCACTAGTGTAAGTAGTTTGTGTTGCTTGGGATCGCAACAACCCCTTGAGACTTCATGCAATGTCTCTTTAAAAGAAGTTTATCATAGATAGTAGTGATGCTTTGCAAGAAATAGGGCAAATCATGTAGGTGTGTAAAGGTTGAAGGCTCTAAGCATGAGTAGTCGGGTTGCTTTGAAATTATTCAAGTATTTGAACATGCCTCTGCTAAAAATAGCTGTATTGCCTCCTCCCTCCCAAGCCCTAAATCCATGATACAGTAATAATAACCCTCCTAGCTGCTCCCTTTTAACATCAATAAGAGAAGAAAAATCCATTTGAAAGATGCTGTGCTCTACCATGTAACTTATCACAGAATGAAGAATGAGGAATCGTTTTAGGTGATCTGTTGATCCATTAAATACCTGTGGGCAAACTGAAATACATGCTTATAATTACTCCTCAGTTATTGTGTAAAGCTTCGTAGATGCTGCTCTGGGACAATGACTGATGTTTTTAGGGGGGTTTGTTCATGCTGCCTTTGAGCAATTATTGTATTAAAACCAACCAACAACAACAAAAAAAACCTAAATCACAACAAAACCCACAAAAAATGTCTCTTTTTCTTTATAGGACTCCAGAAGGTTTGAAGTTACAAGAAGAAAAGGTAGGAAAAAATAGACTTTTCTTTCACTGTGTGCTGGTGTTGAGTGTTCTTACAGTAACTTTTAAAACCAAGCATTTCACACTTGAAAGAGCATGCTGCTATGGGATTTCAGAAGGGCTGCCTCCTAATCCTCACTTGGCAGTCCTTAGTGTCACAAATTGTAGATTATTGGGTTCTTGTTTCAATGGAAACGTCTTTTTTCAGCACAGAACTGCATCCTGGCATTGGGGATGCAAGTCAAGGTTTGTTGGGTTGTGCTGGTACCCTGAGCCCACATCCTGCTCCTGTCAACTCTTTTGCATTAGTAACTGATTGGCTGCTACTATGAGTAGCTGTATGATGGTTCCCAGCATCTGGGTGAGAATGAGCCATCAAGGAGCTCGTTGCTATCATTAATTTTGGGTTTGTTGAGCAGATGTTTTCTGGGTCAGGCAGTTGCTTCCCTCATCTGTGTCTGTAGAACGTGAGGCATTCCCCTGTTCAACAGATCGATGTGTTCCCTTGTCCTGTTCCAGCAGCAGCTTTAATTGCTTCGGGAATCCCATGTATTGGGAAGAAGTAACTACCGCTGTTTACTGCATAAATGAAAGAGGTCAGGTCCAAGGGTAACATCACCTGGGCAAATAATCTCATTTTGGGTTATTTGTGTGGTTGTGTTCTATGGTTTTTGTTTGTTTCTTTTTTGCTGTGAGGCTGAGGCAGCAGAGAGGCTTGAAGACATCAAATATATGCCTGTTGCTGAAGGTGAAAGCTCAGGTTTCCAGCATACGTGTGTGTCTGGTCAAACTTCTGCCACTCCTCAGGAGCAAATCCAGTTTTACTGGCCTTGCCGTGGTCTCAGCCTGAGGAGGGCTCTTGGGTGGATCATGGCTGCTTTGAGATGCAGGAGAGCATCTTGGCACCTTTGATGTGGAAACATTTCAGTCATGCTCTGGCTGTAGAGTTGGTGGTGCAATTGATTATAGGCGGGAGACTGAATCCTGAATGCAAGGAGAGTTGTGGAAGTGGCCTTACTGACTAAACTTTGTGGAAGTACTTCTAGTCCTGTTTCTGATACGGTTTGGGTCTTCAAGATTTACTCCCCACTGAAAGGAACCAACACCTACAAGAACTTAAATACAGCAATGCTTGAAAGTGGGGCTGAGCTTATAAGATCATGTGGGTGCTTGGAAAGCGTTACTTCAGAGCTATAGCTGGATTTAGAGAGCAGTGCCTCTAGATGGGAACTTTCCAGGCTCAATTAGACTGGTTTCTTACTGCCTTCACAGGATGAGTAAGGCTTGACTTCCATTCAGAGCGATGAAACCATACCTTTGTTCAGAAATGCATTCAATATAATGAACTTCGCTGTCAGAAGGCTGCTTAGATCCACGGATGGAGCGAAGGGGGTGGTAGTTGGGGTGTTAAGGTCTGTAGATATATTAGGTTTATGCTCAGTGCCACAGTGGGAATAATCATCTCTGAAGAACTGCAGACTCCTCAGAAGTCAAGCAAACGCTGACACAGTAAATACACCCTGGTCACAAAAGCCTGTGGATTTGCAGAGCAACCTGGGGATTTTCAGCAATGATTAAGTATCTTCCTCTTTGGAGTTAGCCCTCAATAGTGCCTAAGAAATAATTCAACAAAAGCCTCCTTCAGCAACCTCTCCAGTATTAAAATGTGTGCCGAGCAGATACCACTCAGTGCGAGGAAAAAGAAGAGGGTTGAAATGTTTGTTATGCACATGAAAGGATTTATTATGAATCTGGGGCTATGGTAGGATCTAATTTTAAGATTCAGGCCTTTTTTTTTCCCCCTAAAATGGTGATTTTGTGGATAATAGTTTGTACCTGAGGAAATGAAATGACTGGGAAATGGTTGAGGGTGAGGGGGTTGTGCTTGTTCCCTTCCCTTGGTGGAGTATGTGGCTTTGTTGAGAAGCTGAAAAACTCTTAAATATCTGCCACCACAAAGGTGAGAGCTGCAGCAAACTTTCTCTGTGCCTGCTTTCATTATCCCGTGTCCAGGGATGAGCCAGGACAATTAAAAAGAGCTGCTGGTGAAAGGAGGGGCAACACTGATTTATGCTTTTCAGGCTCTTTCTGGGTTTGGACAAAAGGTTTGAGTCCTTCCCATTGAAAGCCGATGCTTTTCTTTCAAAGGAAACAAAACCTTGATTGTTGTAAATGTGGAAATACTTTCTTCCCTGTTTCAGCCCTGGATGAGTGCAGTTAAACTGGGAGGCTTTTGGTTTCCAAAATGTCAGGACTACATATGCTGGAGAAGTTTTGAAGCTGCTCCAAAGCTCATTAGAATCAATGAATGGCTTTCCTTTGACTTCTGTGGGTGCTAGATCAACTGTAATGACATGATCTTTTAATTGCTGTGGTACAGAAGGGAGATGCTTCCCTGACTCCAGCTGGCAGCCAACTTCCACCATGATGTATGAAGACTGATTTCCTCCTGAATTTAAATGGGAATGAGTGGCTGCAGATCCGTTCAGTTCCTGGGATGCCCAACTGGTGCTCAGAAATTACCCTTTTTGACTAATAATGATCTTTTAACAAAAAACCTCCTTCTGGTTGTTGATTAGAAGCTGCAGGACTATTTCCCTAAATTCAGTTTAAGCTCATTAAGCTAAAATTTTGCTCTCAGTGGGTCATGCATGCAACCCACTGCAATTTCCATCTGCATTATGCTCATGTAATAGCGTGTGGTGTGAGGTGCCAAAGCCAAACAAACCCACAAAACACAACCCGTCCACTCAAGAAGACCCAGCATGGAGTGAACAAGCACAGGGTTTGAATACCATCTTTGTATTGCTCTTTTAGACTGAAATTGGTAGCAGGTTAGAGCAGGCATACCTTTCTTTTTCTGTCATTCAGTCTTCTTTCCCATTTCTATCTAAACATTCTTCCATTATTCACTCCATGAGTTTATACATGGTTTCAGGTGTTAGCATTGTTGCTGTTCCTGTGCCCTACCTGCCCTTAGTGCACAGAAAAGGGAAACTGAGCAAAAAAGTTAATAACCTGCATCTTTGCATCAGCTTCCCCAGACAGTGAAATAGAGCACAAGAGCAGGTGGGGAAGAGCAAAACTGGAGTAGAGAGCTGGGAAAGCAGCAGATTGGGTGGAAACAGCAGGGATTTAGTGGAAAGGATGGAGAGTAGCATGCAGCAGAAAATAGGGAGACTAAAGGGTTTATGGTAAATTGGAAGAAGCTCTTAAGGGCGCACCTATAAGGAATTGCCTTGACAGTGGCCAGGCTTGATTTTAAAGATAGGTGAGTTTTCACTGTGTAATGAGTGTAGATGAATGTGCAATACTTACCTGTTGCTGTAAATTAGACTGTATCATTTATGTATGTAAAACCATATGCGTTCACGTCCATCACATGCCCCATGTTGAGCAGAACAGGGCCTCTAGTGGCTTCCCCAACTGCTTTAGTTGCAAAAACATAGGCACTAATTCTGCAACTTCTGGAGCTGACAAATGCTCCGATTCCTGTTGGCAGTGTGGGGCTGAAGGATGCTGACTACCAGAATGAATTGTCTGCTGGGTATAACCCTGTGCTCAAGTAGATGTATAGTTGCATTAAGCATGAAGAACCAGATCTTCAGTAGCTACAAATGAGCAAAGCCATGCAGAATTTAATGGCCCACCTTTGCTTTTCAGTAGTTGAGGATCTAGCCCAAGCACTTAAAACTTTTAATTTGTTTTTATGTTGCTCGCAATCATCCATTCAACAAATTAGTGTCAAAAGATGCTTTTGAAACCGTTCAGCCAAGAAATGTTAGAGCAGATTGCTTCCACTCTGTTTGACCATATAATCTTGTTAAAGGAGATGCATCTCCAGATTTATTCTGACAGGTGACATCCCACTGCCATAAAGATAGGAACTTTATCTGTTTTGAATTAAAAGGCTAAAACCTCTTTCAAGTATTCACAAACTCTGGATTGTGGATGTCCTCTTTATGTGTGTGTATATATTAAGATAACACCATCCTCATTGTTACAGTGTGTTCCCTAACCACAGTGAGGAGCAGTAGAATGTAGCACACCCTGAGCTTTTCCAAGGTGCCGTAGTTTTACTGGAACATCTCTAGGGCTACATTAGTAGTGGTAGATGATCCAGCCAACAGCTTAATAAGTACTTCATTACTTGCCACTTGACTTCAGTTCTTATGTCCTCGATGAAAAACTGAGTCGTGGTTATAAAGCAGTGAAGTCCTTTAGAAATTCTGTTCATTTCCGTCTTTCTTTTTGCACATTGAAATTTTTACCTATCCGTGGGAGATGGCAGGCTCTCAAAACCTGGCAGGATGGCAAGGTTCTCTCCTCAAGCCTTTCAGAAGCCAAGTGAAGTGATCAGTGGTAATTACTTTGGTAGTAAATCACCTATTCACTTCTCATCCCCTTGTTTTCCCATTGGCAGAGTCCAAGAAACTTGGTTTTGTTCCTTATGACTTGGGTAAAACCCACCAAAGGCCAGTAGCTGTGTTGGTCTTTGGAAGCAGTGCTACCTCCAGGATCTTGACTGATTGCCTAGCCAAGTGACATCCAGATTATATGATATGATAAATATGCATACATGTATGCATATCTCTGGCTTGTCAGGGCATCTGTTGTCAGTGAATGGCAGTCTGTTACCTGGGGAAGGGCATTTGGCTGCTCAGAATATTAACTTGGTGTTTAGCTCCTGTTTTTTCTAGGTCTGAGAAACTGCAGCTGCTCAGCACTTTCTGTACCTCATCCCACTTGAATGTTACTCTTCAAACACATGATGCAGCGGGGATGCCCAGTTCTGCAGTGTTGGCAGGGAATTGGCTAGGAATAATGAAGGTAAAAATGGTTTCAAGGAGCTGCCCAAGGCATTTTTTAGCTTGGATTTTATTTAACCCAATTGGGAAGGGAGGGAGAGGCAAAATTATCCTCTCCCATGTATCTGTCAGCCATGGTGTTATTACTTGGCATATTTTGTGGCTCTAAGTGACAAGAGTTAACAGAGGAGTAAAA